TCTCTCTTCCCACTCCCGTGTCTCGATCTCGTCCTGCTTCTCCTTCTCCAGTCTCTCCACCTCCTTGGCAGACTTGGCCCTGTCGAGGAACCCCTTCCACGTCTCGTCATAGTGAACCGAGCCTGCGAATTCGGACTTCTCTTCCTTCCAGCTAGGCATCACCACGCTGCCACGGTCTCCCTCGGCAACGGTCAAAAACCCGCCAAACCGCCTCTCCTCACCTTGAATTGCCTCCCTCGCGAGCCTCTCGACCTCCTCGGGACCGACCCCTTCCTTCCTCACCCAGGCCCAGAACCTGGGCCACCCCGGGGCCTTGTCAACCAGCGCGTAGCTGAGCCCGGCCTCGGCCGGGTGCCCATCCCCGTAGTAGTTTGGGATGCGCTCCGACTTCTTCCGCATCTCATCGCAGAGATCGAGATCCGCCTGCGTCAAAATCCCCAACTCTATCCCGGTAATGATATCCTCCCTCTCCTGCTTCTTGTAATCAAACTTCCACGGCCTCCAGAGCACACACATCTCCCCGGCCCGCTCACACCGCCCGCACCGCTCCCGCTCCCAAACCCCCTTCAACCCAACCTCGCTCGAACACCTGCCCCCCGCCTTGACCGCACACCTCAAACACCCGTCCTTCTCGTACGGCCACTGAATCTCGGCATTCCACCGCCCGGCCTTCAGGAAGCGCCCCCGCCTCGCCCAAAAGATCCGCCACCTCCTCTCCTCCTCCTCCCCGGCCCTCCACGCCCACTGGGCCGCGCTCCAAAACACCCTCCTGCCCTCCCAGAAGCTCACGGTCGGGTACGTCAGCGTCGCCGGCACCGGGATCTCGGCGCTCCGCTTCTGGCGGAACTTGTCCAGCTCCCCATACACGAGCAGGTGCTTGCGGTAGTCGCGGCGCCAGCGGGCGTTGATGGCGCGCACGGGCCAGGGCTCGTCGGGCATGTCCTCGTGGCGCGTGTTGAACGAGCCGACGTTGAGGAGGACGTTCGGGGTGGCGGCGGGGGGCGGGGGCGTGTAGCGGGCCCGGAGGGCGGCGATGCGGGGGTGGACGGGGTAGAGGTTTGGCGTGTCGACGGCGGCGGGGAAGTAGGTTGGCGCGGGCATTTTTAGGATGTGTGGTTGGTTTGGTGGCTGCGGTTAGTATGGTGCTGTGCGTAGCTGGTGATAGAGCAAGATTCAGGGAGAGGTAGGGGGGTATATCAACTTTCCTGGGTGTAGATGAACACCATATTTGAGGAGCCTGGTGTTCGAGGACAGCAGGCTTCATTTCTCAGAATAAGAAATCAAACCGAGCTGTTCTGGCCACCAGCGGTCGACAGCACTGGTACCTCTTCGTCTTTCTGGTGTGGTCTTCCAGCTTCGAGGGCAAGAAAGGCTTTGTGACCAGTCAAAGAACAAGATTCCCACATGCTATATTATCACCACAAAAAGAACTTTTCTCCCTAGCGTCCCCCTAGCCCATACAAAGTCATGAAAGGAGCAGAGGGAATCGGTCTCAAGACAAAGACAAGAAAACAACAGGAGTTCGGCAACTCAGCCAGACACCATCGACCTATCGTTACCCACAGGCCCCCCATAAACAAAGAAATCAACTCTAGAGGAAAAATTGGGAAAGGCTATCGCAGGTACAGCAGGTACAGCAGCATAGTAAGCAAGAACCATTCGTCAATCGCGATTGGGTATTTTGGGTGTACTATGCCTCGAACAGCAAACCTAAGAACACCAAGGACCCAAGACCCTTTTTCCCACCGGCGTGCTTTTGAATCAAGAGTAAAAAACGTCACCCGCAACAAACAAAAAAAAAAAAAAAAAAAAAAAAAGAGTCCTGAGCCCCCTGTCCATAAAAATGACGGACCCTTTGGTACAAACGCAGAACGGCACATACAAATCCCCGCTATCGTCGGTCCGGGTTCATCCACAGACATCATGGTCGTTAGCCCTCTGAACTATCCATGGGCCATCGTCGTTAGCCCCTTTCCAATCGCAACTTCACCGTCGGCCCACACACTGCCAGTAAATCACGACCGAGCCTCCTCCAACTCAAGCTCCAGCTGTCGAATCCGCTCGCTCTGCTCCTGCGAACCTGGCCCAACCCGTTTCTTGAGGGTCTCGACCTCGGCCGCTAACACGCTGATGATATCGCTCTGGGCCGAGATCTTGTCGCTCTGAGCACCAATGATCTTGTTTTGGTGCTCGAGGAGCTCTTTGATTTCCTTGAGCAGGGGGACCTCGGCCGAAGAGGAAGATGGCGGAGTAGCCGCGGGGGTCGCGCGGGAGATGGGAGGAGAGGCCTGAGGCGGCTTGACCGGGGAGGGCGGCTTGGTGAAGGTAGGGGTACTGGCTGCGACAGGTGAGGCGGCCTTTGGTACGGACCGGACCGGGGCGCTAGTTCGTGGGGTAGGCCTAGCAACCTCCTCAAAGCTCGAAGTTTCGGCGTCGTCGCCGTCGTCGTCCGAGGACTCCTCGTTGTCCTGGTACTTGTTTGCCATGGACGAAATTGACGCCTTTTGGTCTGTCACAGTAGGGGGGGCACGATACGCAACAGGCGCCGGCTCTGACGACTCCTTCTTGGGAGCGGGAGCAGCAACCGGCGCCGGGGCGGGGGCCACCACGAATGGCTTGTAGTCCGCAGGAACTTCAACAGGCGCATTGCCCTCATAGATACTCTCTAGGTCGATCTTGGGCGGAACGCCTGTCTTGCCATCGAGCCAGTCCTTGGCAGAGAAGGCCGGCTTCAGACCGATGGCGGGAGGGAAGATATCGGACTGGAAGGTTTCGGCCCGGCGGGGGACTGTGAATGAAATCGGCTCAATGTAGCTGTCGTTGATTGTCTTGAAACCTCTCATGACCTCGTTCTCGTGAACCTTGTATTGTCAATGCCGCCCAGCACTTGGAGCTTGGCGCGGAGACTCACATTGATACCGCGCCGGGGGAGGAATGCAACACCTCGCTGGGGATCGGCGGATTTGTACTCGGAGAGAAACTCGAACTTGTCGTTCTCATACTCGAAATATCGGATGTTGCCGTCGCTGCGGAACAGAGTTAGCAGGCAGAATCCCCCGGCGTAAAAGTAGTTGACTTACCCCTTTCCAGCAAGATACAGGCAGTTGGATCCATCATCTGCGTCGTACAAGTTAGCTATTGTCGCAAAAATAAACCCGTCGAGAAACTCACCCCAGAAAGGCATGCAGATTCCGGAGATAGAGTCGAGCGAGTTGAAACCTCCGATAGGGTCTTTCCTGCCCGGCTCCCACAGTGCAAGCTGCCTCTCGCTCATGCGAGAAAATCCAGTAGTCGCAATACGGTTGTGCTCGCCCAGCCACACAGCGCGGCTGTTCTTTGCACCCTCGTGGCCCGGATATTCGTGTGCAGGCGTCTGCTGACGAACATCCCAAACACGTAGCTTCTTGTCTCGTGAGGTGGTAACAAGGAGGGCGCCATTGGCGCTCCACGAGAGACTCTGCACAATATCGGCGTGCTTGAGGGAAAGCGCGGCCTGGCCAGTGGTGATGTCCCACAGCTTGATTGTGAGATCGCCGGATGCTGAGGCTAGGATGCTCTCGGCCGCGGGGTTGAAGAGAACCTGTCCGACCTTTCTACAGGACGAGCGAATTAGCAAGGAAATAAGAGAAAGCTAGATTAGGCGCCTCATACCTCGAGTGACCGGCTAGTCTGCTAACGGGGGCGACACTTGGGACTTCTTCGGCATCCGTGTAGAGGGTAAAGTCCTCCGGTACCTGCCAGATAAAGACTTTGCCATCGTCGGAAGCTGAGGAGATGATGCGGTCGTTGAACGGGTTCCTAGGCGCAAGTTAGGCAAGTGTGTGCTCCGGGGTTGGGGTCACGCAAGGGTGCTCACCAGTCTGTGTCCAGCACAGTGGCAGTATGACCACGGAACAAGGGTATTTGGTCAGGCAGCTTTCCGCGCTCATTGAGGGGAACGACAGCGAATGCGCCGCCGCCGCCGGACTCCCAATTGACCGAGAGGTACTCGGGGTTGGCCTGCGGGGTGAGTGTCAGCGCTGGACGGCTCGAGGAAGGCGGGGGGCAAGTCGAGGGCAATCGAGGGTGGGTGAGCTGGCCGGGCTGGGGCCGTATGGTCAACATACCTTGATCAAGTTGGTGTCCCAGGCATTGCGGCTGATGTGGAGGTTGTCGTAGCAGAATTCCCTTCGCGTGGACTTGCCGAAGACATGTCCTGTCGGGCGGTAGCCGGTTAGTACCGAGGCTGTCGAGGTTGCCGCATGGACCTTGGGCCTTGGAGATAGCCCGCGAGCCATTGAGGGGAATCAGGAGGGGGACATACGATACTTCGACGCGCGCACAAAGCGGCCGGCCATGGCGTGCGCAGGGAGTTTGCTGGGCTGCGCGGAAGTGTACTCGTGGAGATAATGGGAAGTACAAATATTATGTGGTGCGCCGAGCAGGAATTCAGGGATTCAAGGTACGGCCGTGGCTTGAAGATAAGGTCGGCTCAGTAGTCAGGCAATCAGGGTAGGCTCACGAGGAAAGGTCCGTCTGAGTCTAGAGTTGAGCCAGGGCGGGGTTCACTGCCTAGGTGCTCCTGGTCCGTTCACCCCATGCCCTGCAGTAATCGCACCTGTCCCCCCCCCCCCCACATCGCTCATGCTCATCGCCCTCAACTGCCCCTCCATCATGTGTCTCAATTGTTTAACTCGGGGTCCAGCAGGATCCAGGATTATACTGTTCAAGCCACACAGTTCTGACCTGGAGTCCGATCAACTCTGTGGTTTATAGACGAAGGCGTTCCACATCACAATTGTTTTATGTGTGGAGGACGCTGGTTTAAACGGCTGGGTGACATAGTCAGCAAAGTTACACAATTATCACAACGGGAAGCTTAGAGAGAGCTGTCAACCCGGAAACTAACTGAGCCACGTGGTTTACCTGCCGTATCTATTCTTTCCTATCACCCGTACAGCCTGTGTGCCGCAGAGAGCCACCGGTCTCTATAGCCCCACGGATGTGACCCAAGCTGTATAGCTCGTGTGGTCTAGTGGTATGACGTTCGCCTCACATCTGTTCTTCAGTGGTCGCGACAGGTCCCAGGTTCGATCCCTGGTATGAGCATATTTTTGCAGGCATCTCCTTCTTACTCCTCTGAAGAGATTCCGTTTGCTGGCTGAACTCGATGTAGACAAATTGAGACCACCAGACCCTCTCTCATTTTTGCTGGATTTGAACAAAGATTGGTTGTAGGTTGCGAAGTCTAGGTTTGGGTTTTGGGGACCAGGCCCAAGCTTCGACCAACTAGGAAATCTCCAAATGAACCCTTGAATTTCAAAATCCGCCTCATCCCATCACAACCTTCACCGAACAAATACTCGCAGTGACGTCGGCGCGCCAACACGACACGATATACAAGCCCCCGAAACAGGGTGCTGCGACGTCTGAGATGCCAGAGAGACCAGACTTGGTTGGCACAATCCCGGGTCGGTGAAGAAGGGAAGAGGAAAAAAGGAAACGCATAATAGACGCCATGGCGGGTACAGCCAAGTCCCGCTGGGCCAACAACGAAGACGACGCCGCCCAGGAGGCGCAGCTGAAGAAGGAACGGGAGGAAAAGAAGCGCCTCAAGGCTGAGAAGGCCCGGAAAGCCGAGGCAGAGCGGCAAGCGCGGGAAGCCCAGACGCAGGCCAATGTCGCGAGGACAGCACAACCACGAGATGAAGACGAAGACGATCGCGGCAGTGGTCCCCCAGCAAAGCGAAGGAGGCTATCGCCGGAACGAGAAACCCGATCTCCCGCGCCCGCCGCCGCCGAACAAGACAGCGGAGCGGCCAGCACGAAGCTGCTGCGATTCGAAGGGGGCGCATTCGGCAGGTGTCGGAGCGTCGAAAGCTACGACAAGCTCAACGACATCGAGGAGGGCGCATACGGCTGGGTTGCACGGGCGCGTGAGATAGCCACGGGGAGGGTGGTGGCCCTCAAGCGACTCAAGATCGACCCCAAGGACCGCGGCGGGCTGCCTGTCACGGGACTGCGCGAGATCCAGATCCTCAAGGACTGCGACCACCGGAATGTGGTCGAGCTGCGAGAGGTGGTGGTGAGCGAGGACACGAGCAAGATCGAAAGGTACGGCGGCCCCTCCGATTCCCATCCCTTTATTTTCCACTAGCTAACATGCATCCCAACAGCATCTTCCTCGTCCTCGAATTCGTCGAGCACGACCTCAACAGCATCCTCGAGGACATGCCCGAGGCCTTCCTCGCGTCCGAAGTCAAGACCCTCCTTCTCCAGCTCGCCTCGGGCGTCGCCTACCTGCACGACAACTGCATCCTGCACCGCGACCTCAAAACCTCCAACCTGCTCCTCAACAACCGCGGCCAGCTCAAGATCGCCGACTTCGGCATGGCGCGGTACGTGGGCGACCCGCCACCGCCCAAGCTCACCCAGCTCGTCGTGACCCTGTGGTACCGCGCCCCCGAGCTCCTCCTGGGCGCGACCCGCTACACCACGGCGATCGACCTGTGGTCCGTCGGCTGCATCTTCGGCGAGCTCCTCACGCGGGAGCCGCTGCTCCAGGGCAAGAACGAAGTCGACGAGCTGACGCGCATCTTTGCCCTCTGCGGCCTCCCCTCGGACGAGACCTGGCCGGGCTTCCGCCGGCTGCCCAACGCGCGCGCCCTGCGCCTCCCCCCGCCCACCCCGTCCTCCTCGGGCTCGGCCATCCGCGCCCGCTTCCCCCTCCTCACCGCCGCCGGCGCCGGCCTCCTCAGCAGCCTGCTTGCGCTGGACCCGGAGCGCCGTCCCACGGCGCGCGAGATGCTCGCGCACGAGTACTTTGCGCAGGATCCCAAGCCCAAGCAGGAAGCCATGTTCCCCACCTTCCCCAGCAAGGCGGGCCAGGAGCGGCGACGGCGTAAGCAGACGCCGCTGGCGCCTCCGCGCGGGGGCCAGGTGGTGGAGCTCGGCGCGGTGGACTTTAGCGGAATATTTTCCGGGCGGGATAAGGAGGAGCGGGGTGGGGGTTTCTCGCTCCGTATGGTTTGAGCGATCCTTATGGTGTCCTTGGAGTCTAGGCCACGATTTGGTTAGCAAGCTATATTGTTCGGAGTGGTGGCGCAAACAGGATGTCCTGAGTTATGAATGTTTATCAAAGAGCCACCAGTTGCTCCGTCAGCCGGGGAAGCTGTCAAAGATCCCACGTCCATGCAGCCCGCGAACTTCAGACGAGAGAAATGCGTCATTATAAGCTACCTAGCTACCTACCCTAACCGGTAAATGCAGAGATCGTCAAACTGCCATGCAAGAGATACATACAGTACATGCGACAAACTATGTCTCCAGACTTTTTCTCTCGCAGAACCCCAAATCCAAGCAAATGATTCAGTAAATGACAACACAAAAACAATGTCTTGTTACCCAACGCCGATTCTCTTGCACCTCCCACCCCCAGTATTATAATGATGTTCGTAAAAGTGTTCTCGCCAGCCTCCACCTGGTCCCCTAACAAGCATTACAACACGTATAACTGCCCGCTCTTGTTCTCGTCGCTCCAAAATCAGAGAAACGCCCCAATTCCTCCGACGAACCAAGTGAAACTGAGCACTGTCAAAACACTCATGGCCACAGCCCCGCCCAAGGCCCTCCTCTCCATGTCTGACACGCCGGCGCTGCAGGTCACGCACTTCCACTCGCCGAGCGGGGTGTAGGGCCGCGGCGTGTAGAGGCCGAAAAGTAAGCCCGAGAAGGGCGAAAGGTACCCGGCCTCAGGGGTCGCGGTGATGGGGCCGTCCGAATCGTGGATAAATAGCGTGTATTGCTCAACCAGCAGTGGGCTAGCAATGGCCGTCTCCTGGTACGCACCCGTGTCCCAAGTGAAGGAACCGGCGGTGGCAAACGTCATATTCTGGGTCAGAGTCCAGGTTTGTGCCGCCTTGGAGCAGCTGACGAGCACGTCGACCGCCGTGGGTGTACCCTGTAGGTTCGTGTAGTTCCAGCCCCAAGTAACAAAGTCGCCAATCTTGTACATCTGCGTACCCTGTGTGATGGAGGGCGTCTTCATGACCACGGCGCCGGCTGGGTCTTGTGGGTTGAACATGGTATGCTTTGCGTTGCCGGTCTTAGTCTTCGTTGAGTTCTTGTTGCTGCCCCCTGTTGCCGTCACACCACCGGTGTTGAGGTTTGTCGTGACGACTTTTTTGGTTGCAGACGTAGGGGTCGCATCGCTGTTGGCTGGTTTGTCTGTTGTCCGTGTTGCGGAAGCACCGGCTGCTGCGAGTTAAGCATGTTAGCGGTCCGGCCATGAGTTCGATATTTTTCCTGGGGCCCTCGTACATGTTGCTTGCCGCGCCACAAGGGCATCGGGATCTGGAAGCCATTCTGGCCATGACACGGCGGATACTACCGGTGTTAAGGATAGCAGGGCAACAGCCAGTTGGCTAATGGAAAGTGTTGCCCTCATGGTAACGGCCTTGTCGACGGCGAGAGGCAGCAGCAGATGGGCGAGAGAGACCCCGACAGGATCGGGAGCAGGAACCCCCTTAGAACTCAATCCCCGGAGGACCAAGAGTGCTGGCGATAGAATGCTGTTCCACGTCGGAGAAATTGGGTATGCGGTGGTTTCTCGTTCGTGGTCGTGGACAGAAAACACGGAATTCAGGGCGGTTGTGCTGGGTTTCTGCAGTGCAACCCCTGACTGGCTGTTTGGGTCGACCAAAAAATAGGCCTGCGTAAAAAATTGTAAAGGCCGAATAGGGGATGGTGGAGAAACAGCAACCGGCCAGAAACGTGAACCGGATTGGAGTAGCGATTGATGCGGAAAGCGAAAGTGGTCAGTCAAGCAGAGCGAGTGTAAGTGACGGTTGCCAAAGGAACAGAGAAAACGAAGGCGGGCTGATGGCTATCCCAAAGTGTGTGCAGCACAGCAAGCAGGATGACAGGGAGACAACTGGACTGGAATGGAGAAAATAGAGTTCGCAGCTACGAATGGGCGCTCTGCCTCTCGCTGCATTGTTTCGCCAGGGATGCACGCCCCGATGGGGTTGAGCGACCAACGAAGGGATCCACACAGGGGTCGTGCACCCAATCAACGCGGCATACGGGCTTGACCTGCGCATGTGGCTTGCCAAAAACTGGTACGTGTTGCCGTCGTCTCCCCGTCGTGCTGTGGTGGCGCCGAAAGCCCGGAGGCCCTGTTACCCCTGTTGACCACTTCGCCCAGCCGGCACCAAGTGACGCCATTTCGTATTCCACGGGCAACCCCGCCGTCCAGTTTTTTGCCATCTCGTGTTCGTGGCCCGGCGGATCCCCCCAAACTGCACCAGCTAAAAATAATATTTGTTTGACTCGAGCGCGATGTCACAGAATATGGAACACGCAAGTGTTTTCTGCCAAACGGAGACAGGGTCGCCTTCTCGAATATAAAAATGTCCCACAAAATCCAACTGCCGCTTGCCGCTGACGAGGGGTGTTTCCGTCGGACGATCGCCAAGACGATTTACTGCCGCTCTAATCCCGCTCGCATCGTATTTTACCGGGTTTTCCTAGGTGTGGCTGTATTGTTTGATGTGACTTTCGTCGACTTGATACGAATGAAGCGTACACGGCTAGAGAATAGATTCCCTACCTCAGGACCTATGTTATTTCCGTGGATTCAGCAACAGTATGAAGTGTTCAAGCTGTTGGTTCCATTCTCGCTGAATGGGTGGCCGCTAGCAACGGACTCGCTGGGCTTGCAACACCAACATAACAGTGAGATCCGAGACCATATGCATGTACGTACTCAGATTGAGTGTGGGGACTAGATGCCACTAGTAGAGGTATCGGGACCACCCGAGCGGTTTGGCAAAGAGAGCTACGGCGAGTTAAAAGTATCCATCATCCCAAGAACTTCGCCATAGCGGATAGCTATCGATTAACCTCATTCCCTGTTGTTTTACTTGGAGCCGAAGTAAATTGCGGCTCTGCGCCTGTTGGTTTCGCTCGCATAGTGGACCAACAGCCTACTCGCATACTCACTTTGGGAAGGAATGATACACCTCACTGTTCAGTCCTGGCGGGGATACAAATGTGGTGACCGAAAAAAGAAGTGTCCATCGGGTAGGTTCAAGTTGTCATGTTTCGTC